CAGAGTCTCAAGCGGCAGCCAGTGATCAAACACATTAATTTTTCTTCAGCAAATGTATGAATATTCACGCTCCATGGGACAAAGACCAAAAATACCCTCATATCGGCTTAGGTCAGTCACGAGATAGGAGAACATTTTCAGTTTTCGGGACTTTCAGGATTTCAGAAGGCAGAAAATAAAATTTTGTTGTCCAATCATCATGTTTTTCTTTTTCAAACTCCAACATGAACATTTATCCCTTTAGGGGACCAATATTTAGCTCCATGCCCAATACATAGGTCGCACCCGGAAAATACTTGTTGGCCGAATGATTAAGATCAAGTACAGCTTATGGAAAACTCCTGTTCTGATCAAACCGCTGCTGAGAGAAAATAACCCTCTAGTTCTTGCTGAGTCCCTTCAGTTTTAACTCATTTCTTTCTTTCTTTGTAATTTTAAGAGGTTTATTCTGAGCCAAATTTGAGGACCATGACCCAGAGCCATGCCCAAGAAGCCTTGAGCAAGTGGACGCGCTGTGGTTGTTAACCCATTTCTTATAAGTGGGTGGAAACCTTATTGTTTCCACTTGATTCTCTCACAAAGAACAGGGGAAGGGATGCTTACAGAGTTTTAAATTTTTTTTTCCATCTTCCTTCAGGGCTGCATCTGGGGAAGGAAGAGGCAGGCCCACTAGTTTTAGAGAGAGTTGCTTGAGTCAATAAAGCCTTTCTTACTCATTTGTTGTAGGTCTAGAAAGTTTGCCAAATTCAAAAACCTTCTTAGTTTCCTTGTGCAAAGAATACAAACTAGACATAGTAACCACCTCCGTGAATATTCTGATTGTTTGGTTTTTTGGCACAGAATGCTTCGTTTGTCAGGAATTGGGGTTCCACAGGCTGGGCTCTATAGGGATCTGGGTTCAAACTCTGTCTCTGCCAGTCTCTTGGCACATTACATACACCCTTTTACGTAAGCCTCACTTTCTCATTGATAAAATATAAATGATATCTGACAGTGGTGTTAAAATTGTGGGTTCTTCAAATTGGAGAGCACCCTCACCTTTCCCGTGTGAGGCCCAGGGAGTGCACATTTATTTTGTTCCTTTTGCTCCTTGTATTTTATGGCCTTCCCGAAGTTCTGACAGTTCACGGTGGGCCCATTGCTGGATCCACAGTCTATAATTATTTATCCTCCTCTAGAAGCCTAAACATCCCAAGCACAGTGGCTTATAGTGTCTGATTTCCGGTTCTAATTTTAGTCCCTCCTAATGCCTCAGCTTTACGTTTGCTGGTTGTTCATAGCTGCCAGCTAGGAGGATCTTCATGACCTTTTTCTTTCCGTCCAGTTTGTTTGTTTGTTTCCAATCAGAAGGATAGGAGAGGGGACATTTTAAAAGCTGCCATGACAGGGAACAAACTTTCACTGTTTTAGAGTGAGAGGGAAATTCCATCCCATTCACCAACACCCTTCCCTGCCCACTTCCCAGAGTTTTCTTTTGTTGTTTTAGTGAGACTTTGCATACAATCATGTGTTACCTAACAATGGGACATGTTCTGAGAAATGTGTCATTAGGCGATTTCATCATTGTGCAAAACATCATAGGGTACGCTTACACAAACCTGGATGGAGTAGCCTACCACTACACACCTAGGCCACATGGTACAGCCTGTTGCTCCTAGGCCACAAACCCGCACAGCATGTCACTGTACTAGATGCTGTAGGCATTTGTAACACAATGGCAAGTATTTGTGATCTAACCATATCTAAACATAGAAAAAGTAAGGTAAAAATATGGTAGTATCATCTTACGGGACCACTGTCATATCAGTGATCTGCTGAGTGAAATGTTATCATGCACTGCATGACTGTATAGCGCATTTGGCCAGATGCAATAAAAAATAGTCCACGTTTGTCATTGGAATCCCTGTGTGCTGCAGAAGGTGGCACAGAAACCCACCTGAATGACGTTGCCACCATGCCTTGACCCGGCACTTGTGGGCTGT